ACGCCTTTCCGAGTCATCAAGCCGATCGTCACGCGGGGCAGGCTTCCGGGTCGTGGAGTACGGGCGCCACTTCCTCACCTCTTGCAAGCGGCAGATGGGGGGACACCGCGCCCTCCCCCGCGGTGTGCCCTGGCCTGGCCTCCCCCCCACGTCTACTCGCCCCCCTCGCACAGGCTCGACCTTACCGAGGAGCAGATCGGAGGCTCGGAGAGGCGCACGCACCCCCACAGGCCGACAGGACGCCCTCTCCCAGCCCTCCGACTCCCCCTCTCTGCCGGCTAGGCACGCACTGCCGGCCGACGCGCGAGACAGGCCGAGCGGCGTGGGCGGCGCGGACGGCGACATCTTCCTCACCGTCCGCGACCACGAGCGCACTGTCGTCGTCGTCATCTCGCACGCCGGCGAGCTGTCCACACTTGCTTCTCCCTGCTCTTCCCTGCCTCGCCTTATCTTGCGACCGCCAGTGCCGCCCCTCTCTCACGCCGCACCTGACCTCGCCCTCCCCCCTCCCCTCCTCCCTCAGGCATCGAGCCGGGCGTGCTCGAGAATGTCGAGGCGAGCGCCTTCGCGACGCCCTCCTCGCTGCTGCTCGCCTCCCCGGCGGGAGGCAACCTCTCGCCCCTCACCCTCTCCCCGCTCGTCCCTCGCCGCGGCTCCTCCGCCGATGGCGCGCCGCCGGCCGGCACCGCTGGCGGCTGCTGGGGCGCCCAGCCAGCCAAGCCCTCGGCCCCGCCCGCCCCGCCCACGGCCACCACCGCCACGATGTTCGCGCCTCCTCCCCTCGCCGGGCCCGCCGCCGCCCCTCCCTCGAGCGGCCCGCTGGTCGTGCCGCGGCTCTCCTCCCTCGGACAGCACTCCCTCGGAGGCGCCCACGCTGCCGCCCGCTCGCCGCTGCTGTCCCCGCTGCCGTCGCCCATCGCGCGCAAGGAGTCCGACGCGGCGCTCGCGATGCTGCTCACGCGGCTCGACGATCTCCTCGCCTCGGGCGCGCTGCCGCCCCCCCGTGGCATCCTGCTGCGGACAGCTTCTCTTCACGCGTGCTGCCGTGGACAGGCGGCCGGCTGCTGGTCGGTATCGACGAGGCGCGAGGGAGTCGCCGCCAGAGGGGAGAGAGGGGAGGGGCGGCGCTTGTCCGCGGGAGAGTGCGGGAGAGGGCGGGAGAGTGCGGGAGAGTGTGGGAGAGGGCGGGAGAGGAGGGGCGGCGCCTCGCCTCCCCACCGCCCCTCGCCTCCCCACCGCCCCTCGCCTCCCCACCGCCCCTCGCCTCCCCACCGCCCCACCGCCCCACCGCCGCAGGTGGAGAGGCTCAAGGGGCTTCCCCTCAAGCTGATCGCCTTCGAGCAGCTGCTCTGCTCCGCCTCCAAAGATGGATCAGCCGCCAGCCTCGGGGCGACCCTCGTGCAGGCGCGACCCGCTCCCGCCCCGCGCCTCCCGCGCCTCCCGCCCCCACCTGCCCGCCCGCCCTGCCCCTCTCTGCCCTGCCCACCCGACATGTCCACGACACGTCCACGACACGTCCACGACACGTCCACGACACGTCCACGACGCGTCCTCCAGGTCGTCGAGGTGTACGAGCCCTCCGACCTCATCTGGGCGCACGACTACCACCTGCTCCTCCTCCCGTCCTACACGCTGCGCCACCTCCGCACCGCGTGCGTCGGCCTCTTCCTCCACACGCCCTTCCCCTCGAGCGAGATCTTCCGAACCATCCCGGCAAGCACCCCTTCCCCCCCCCCCCCCCGGAAAGGCCGGCGTAAAGGCGTGCAACTTCACGCCCGCCGTGCAGGCCGACTACGAGACGGTGGTGAGCGAGATCAGCGAGGTCGTGCTCCGCATCAACAACCGCTGGCCGGGTGGCGCGTCGGGAGAGCGGCGCTCCTGAAGGCGACGCCCCGCCCGACGCCTCGCGCCTGCTGTCCGGTAGGCGCCGTCATCTACATGGAGCTGCCCACCATCACGCTCGCGCAGCGGCTGCAGCTCTGGCGGCGCGTACACGCCCCTCTCATCTAGCAGGAGGTCATCTACGCAATGTCATCAACACACACTACACACTGACATAAGGCGCGCCTACGCCGCCGTCTTCACCTCGGTCCGCGAGGGGCTCAACACCTACCCGCTCGAGGCCGTCTTCGCGCGGCGCAACGTCGAGCCGGGCGTCGTTGTGCTGTCCGAGTTCGCATCGTGCTCCCGCGTGCTCAACGGCGCGATCCGAGTCAACCCTTGGCGCGCGGCGACTCGAGGCGCCCCACCCGCACGGTGCGAGAGCGCGGCTGCGGCGTGCGGAACTGTAGGCACACGCTGGAGCTAGCCGAGGCGCTCGGCCGCTGCCTCACCATGAGCGAGGCCGAGATGTAGCCGAGAAGTAGCCGAGATATAGCCGAGATAGCTGCATCACCGTGAGCGAGGCGCCTCGCCCAATCCCGGCCCCCGCCCCCGAACTCCTGCCTCGGTCCACCCAACCCCCTCCCTCCCCCTCCCCTTACCCCCTCTCGCTCGTGCCAGGCCGAGCGCGACGCGCGGCGGCAGCGCGACATGGAGTTCGTCATCAACAACACCGCTTCGGCGTGGGCCGAGCGTTTCGTGCTCGACTTGCAGGCGGTCGCCGAGGAGAAGCCGCGCGATGCGCAGTGGGAGACGATCGGCTTCGGGCTCGCCGGCTTCCACCGCGCCGGCTGGCGCAGCGACTTCACCGCGCTCGACACGACCGAGGTGCTCACTGCGTACCGGCGGGCCCGCCGGAGGGCGCTCTTCCTCGACTGGGGCGGGACGCTCGTCCCGATCGAGGCCTTTCCTAGACCTTTCCTAGACCTGTCCTGGAGCCTTCCTGTAGGCGGGACGCTCGTCCCGATCGAGGACGGCTTCACCTCCCACCTCGTCGAGTACTTCCGCGAGCGCCTCTCGCCCGCTGTGCACGCCTGCCTGCACGAGCTCGCTTCGGACCCGCGCAACTTGCTGATGGTGCTCTCGGGGCAGGAGAGCGGCCGGATGGACGCCGCCTTCTCGTCCCTCGGCCACGCCTCCCTCGCCGCGGAGCACGGCTTCTGCTACCGGCTCGGCTCGCTCCCAGGCGTGCGGCTGCTACTCGAGGACGAGGGGCGTGGCCTCCGCCGGACACGTGCGTGACATGTCCCGGACGTGTCCTGCAGGCGTGCGGCGGCCGCACGCGTCCGAGTGGCGGCAGCTCCTCCCGGACAACGACCTGTCTTGGAAGGAGACGGTGCGCGCTCGCTCGGGGCGCCTCGCCGCCTCACCCGCCACACCGCCGCCTCACCCGCGAGGCTGTGCTCTTTGGCAGGTTGCCACCGTGATGGAGGCGTACAAGGTGCGCACCAACGGCGCGCAGACGGAGGTCAAGGGCTCTTCTCTCGTGTGGAAGTTCGACGAAGTCGACCCCGAGTTCGGGCTGATGCAGGCCAAGGAGATGTGCGTGCACCTCAACACGGTGCTCGCAAACTGCCCCGTCGCCATCATCACCGGCAAGGGCTACGTAGAGGTGCGGCCCAAGGGGGTCAACAAGGGCGCGGAGGCCCCAGCGAGCAGGCCCTCCCCGCGGCGGCTCTCTCCCCCAACCGCGGGCGGTGCTCACCGTAGGCGCGATGGTCGACCACGTCGTATCGCAGCTCTACTCGCAGGCGGGCGGCGTGCCTTCCTCCTCTTCGCCCCTCCCCCTCTTCACACTTGGCGCCCCTCGCAGGTTGGCGGCGTCGACTTCATCCTCTGCATCGGCGACGACTCGGCGGACGAGTTCATGTTTCAGGCGCTGCACGCGCGCTTTGCGGACCGGCCCGCAGGCACGGTGCCCGCCCTCTTCACGTGCGTGGTTGGGAGGAAGCCGTCCTCCGCGCAGTACTACGTCAACGGCGCGGATGAGGTGCTCGAGCTCTGCCAGTCGCTCCGCCTCCACTCGACGCGCGCCAACCGCAACTTGTCCACCTCGGACCTCAAGGGGCTCGGGCGCGGCAGGGTGCCCATTCGCGGAGAGGGGCCGCTCAACAGCTCCATGGACGGCAGCACGATGCGAGCTGTCTTTGCCGCGACGCGCGGAACCTCGACGCCCTTCGCGCTGCCAGCCGGCCATGGCGCCCGACTCGCCTCCATCGCTGCCTCGCCGCCGCCCGGGCAGCGAGCTGAGCTTGGCACGGTCGACGGGGCTGCGGAGCCAATCAAGTTCACCGTGGGGCAGTGACGGGTCGCATGGACATCTTTTTGCGACGTTGCTTGCGCATGTGTTTGAGTTGAGAGAGGATTTTTTGACACAGGCGTGTTTGAGGATCGTCGGTTAGTACACGTGTTATATATCATCGCCTCGCGGTCTGGTCCGTGCACCGTGAGGCGTGGGGCCCAGGCGTGGCATAAATTACACCGCGGGCGGCACACGCGCAGTGAGACTACACAGACACACCGACACGCCGGCGCTCTCGTCGTGCTGTCGAGACGGGAGAGTCTGGTTCAGCTGGGTGCGGGTAAGCGTCCCAGTGCACACAACACCCCTCTGGCGCACCGAGTGACTCAAGCTAACACTCGCAAACACAGTATGTACGCTCACGGCCTCACGCAGCTCTCTCAGTCTCTCACCATCGCTGCGGCTTGGCAACCAGCTGAGCACACTGATCGCGTGTGGTCGAAGTGCCGAATCCCGCGGGCATGGGGCGAGGGCGTAACCTCGCCCTGGCTGCTCGGCCCTTTTCGATTCGCACAGGAGGCAGCGGCAAAGCACTCCGAGGCGGCTCTGTTAACGCGCTGTCCATCGCCTGGTCGAAGCCCTCAGGCGGTAGCTCGAAAGGCGCGTCCACTAGCGGCCGCAGAGGCAACTCTAGGTGGTTTGCAGGAAAGTGGAGGTCACAAGTCTCTGGTACTCCTGGCTCCTCCGGCTCCGGCTCAACGGCTGCCTCCGCGGCCGCCGCCGCTGCAGCTTGCTGCTGCTGCTGCTGCTGCTGCCGCTGCTGCTGCTGCTGCTGCTGCTGCTGCTGCTGCTGCTGCTGTTGCTCCTGGTGCTCGCTCTTGTTCTCATCCTCGTCCGTATCCCCGTCCGTATCCCCGTCTGCATCCCCCTCTGCCTCCCTAAGCGGCGCGGGGAACTCCTCCTCGTCCGCAGTTTCATCGGGGGCCGCAGAAAGGCCTGCCCCGCTGCACATGCAGCAATCGGGCTGCTGTGGCGGCTCCGACTTCGGCTCCGCAGCAGAATCCTCCTCTTCCAGGGTAACAGGTGCAGCAAGCGTCTCCCCGGCTGGCTCCATCACGCCCTCGACCTCGGAGCACTCCTCACTTGTGTCGGACCATGTGCTTTGGTGACTGAACTCCAGCTCGCTCAACCCGCCCAGCTCCGATCGCGATTCGAGCGAAGAGTACAGGCCGACGGTGTAGGCGAACGAGAAGCGGCGGCGGAGAGGAGAGGACGACTGCTGCCATGCGCCCGCCTGCAGGAGCTCGGCTTCCTTCTCCACCTCCTCCTCGCTCATCGTCTCGTACCGCTGGAAGCACGCTCTGGCAAACGATCCCGCCGGGCACTGAGCGGCGACGGGCCCTAGCAGAGTCCAGGCGTCAGCACCCTCGGAGAGGTGAATCATTCCCAGAGAAAGACGGAACGCGGGCGGCATTGCACCCTCCGCTGAGAGGGCAACCACCAATTGATCATCCGACAAGCCGCTGAGGAAGCTATCGAGCGAGTCGCCTCGCTTGAGGCGGAGCGCTGTCGCCGACGCCGATCGCCCGATGGACTTTACGGCAGCCAGTCCGAAGCCTGAGATCGGCTCCATCGCGTGCGATGCCGCGTCGACTGACGCCCTGGCAGACGACAGGTCACGCATCGCCCAATCTGTTACAAAAACAGTTCACGCGGAAAACGGACCTGGCACAGGCGTAGTGCGCGCGTCACGTGTGTGTGTATGTAGGAGTTGTAGGCATGGTAACCGTTGCAAGATTCTTTCTTTCGTTCGTGCGCCGAGGTGTGGGTGCTAGTGAGAGAGATTTTTTTGAAACCCAACAAGAAATCACGACCCTCACTGTGATTTGGGCTCGGCAGCTTCTCAGCCCTCAGCCGAAGCTGGGGCCGGTCCCGCGGTCTTTAGTTTATAGTAGTGTGCTGTGTAGGAATCCTAGAGAGAGGCTTGCTCTTAACAAATCGTTTGATGATTTACCTGTGTTAGCCAGTGCGCGCCACTCCCGTGCCGATCTAAATAAATACACAAAGCGACGCCTCGAATTTCCCAGGCGGGTTTAAAATTCTTTTTCATGTGGCCGGTACCGTAATACGGAGCCACTCCAGGTCCTGGGAGCCTCGCGGCATAGCTCAACATGACCGAGGCGCTCCGCTCTCATGTCCGCGCGCTGCGAGCAGAATCGGGCGAAAAGTTCGATGCTGCTCTCGACACCTGCAAGACGCTTCTCCAGAACGTCCTCGAGCAGCCGGATGAGGCCAAGTTCAGGACGATCAGGTTGGGAAACGCCGCCTTCCACCAGCGGTTGGGGCAGTTCCCCTCTGGAATCGCGCTGCTGCGATCGCTGGGCTTCGAGGACGCCAACGCCGCCGACGGCAGTCCGGGAGGAGACGGCCTCCCGGCGTACCTTGCACTGCCAGTGGCTGATGCCGCAGTCCTCGCTCAAGGCCTCGTCTTAGTGGCGGCCTCTCGCGAAGCATCCCTGCTGGTGGCCAGCGAGCGGGGAGGAGGGCCGCCGCCGCCGGCGGCGGCGGCGGCACCGTCGGCGGCGGCGGCGGCGTCTGCTGCACCGCGCGAGCCGCGGCGCGTCGAGGCGGTGCGGAGCAACGCCGCGGGCAAGCGGAGGGCGGAGAGCGACACGGGCGGTGGCGGCAAGCGACCCGCTGGTGGCAGCACTGACGGAGAAGGAGCCGCCCGCCCCGACGGTGGCGGCGCCACCGCCTCTGCTGCCGAACTCGAGTCGTACCGTGCAAGCGCCATCGATGAGTATTTCCTCGCTGCGTGCGGTGCGACTCAATTGACCGTAGCCTCACCCTCACGCATCGTCAGACTCCCCGCATCCGAACTGCGAAGGCGGCGCCTTCCTCGCTGCGCTTGACGACGTCGAGCCGGCGGCGCTGGCGGCACTGGTGGCGACCGCCCGCGACGCAAAGCGCGTCAGCGAGGCGACTGCGGACGCGGAGGCGGCGGCTCGCGCGCAGCATTGGGCGAGTGTGCTGGAGGAGCGCGGCGAGACGCTCGGCTATACCTTCGACGACGTCGGCGACGCAGACGCCGACGCAGGCGCGGCGGCGGGGTCGAGCGAGTCGGCGGCGGGCAGCTCGAGTGGCTGGGTCGGCGGTGCGGCGGGCGGGTCCTCGGGTGAGGGCGGCGCGACGGTGGTGGAGGAGGACGGCAACTTCGACACGTGCGCCGTGTGTGACGGCGGCGGGCTGCTTGTCTGCTGCGAGGCGTGCCCTCAGGCCTACCACGCGGCGTGCCTCGGGGAGGAGGCGCCGCCCGAGGAGGAGGAGGAGGGCCAGGCTTGGTTCTGCCCGCCGTGCAAGGCGCAGCTTGGAATGGCCTGACGCCCTCTCTCGAAGCGGCCTGCTCTGTCTGTGCGCGCTAGAGCAGAGACCAAGGAGCGCACACACGTTGCGCTTTCTCCGTGTCTCCGAGAGCTGTGTGCTCTGTGCGCATGCACGATGCGCAGCCAGGATGCAGCCTGCTTTGCTTGTGCAGTCGTCACGTCGCTGCTCAGCAACGCTCTCTGCTGCATGAAAAATTGATCGATCTCAATGCCCGGGGGGTGCCGGGGAGGCGTGCGGGCGGCGGGGTGCGGGCCGCGCCGGCGCGCGCTTAGGGGACCCCTAGGCTTAAAAGGGTGGGCCCTGGGGCGCCTGCGGCTTAAACACGGCTTAAAACTTGCCATGGCAAGTTTTAAGAGCTGCTGGGCCGCCAATTCCTTAAACGGTCTTAAACGCTTAAACGGTGCGGGAGAGCTCCCGAGGTCGATGGTCCGGGAGGCTCCCGGTAGACACGCCGGAGGCCGGGAAGCTGGCTACAGTCAGCTAGCACGCGTCCCCTATGCGAGTATGGCTCCTGCCAGTGCACCAGACTTACAGATGTGTCTTCAGAGGCGGGTTTGTGCCTAACAACGGCAGTATTGGAGAAAACGGCAATGGTTGGGTAGTAGGGCTAGAGGGTCGCTCTACACTTAGCCTCTGCAGCGAGCGAGCGCTCAACTTAGCCCCCGCACGGAGCCGGGCTCAGACTTAGACCCTCATGGTCGGGGGCCATGAACTTAGACGACATAAGGCCAACTCCGGGTAAAACCCGGGTATACCTGAAAAGCTTTCAGGTTTACCCGAAAAATACCTGGACGCGTCCCGACCAACGTTTGCCGCGCACGACGCCATATCGCCTTCTCCCAGGGCCAGTGCGCTACTTGCGGCGCGCAACGCCTGCTCAAGTACGCGCAACGTACCATATGCTGCCGCTATGCGTGCCTTAAGGCGGCTGCGGCGAAGCGGCGGGCGCGGCATGCCGATGGCAGTGCGGACGATGCGGTTGCGATGTGTTCTGCTTCAAGATCGTGGCGGTGCTTGGCATGCACTTCTGCGATCCCAATCAGCTCATCGCAACGAAGCAGCGCAACAAGCTGGCTGCTGCCAACAAGGCCCTATGCTACCTCACGCGCGGATCGTTCAAAGAGGACCAGCATACAGAGGCTTCTCTGACACGCGTTTGTTTGAGCTTGAGGCTATTTGTGAGAACTGTTTGGCGAGAAGTCGCCGAAGATTGCGCTCAAGAAGCAGCAACGAGAATCGGAAGAGGAGGATGCTGAGGCGGCGATTGCTGAGCATGAGAAGGATCGATCGCCCGCCGCAGGCGAAGAAAATTTGGGGGCTGCGCCGTATCGTTGTACGTTGATCACGGTGGGAGCCTCTTGGCCCCAGGCCGTCCACGGCCGACTTAGCCGATGTAAGAGGCTCCCGCTGATCTTAGACCGCGCAAGCACTCCAGCGTGGCTAGCCACACTTAGACCCGTTAGGCCTCCAGTCTCAGAACTTAGACTACTACCCAACCAGTAAAACGGCGCGGAACCCAGCGACGCGTGCCGGCGAGGCCGATTTTCTTAAACGGTCTTAAAAGAGGGACCCCCCGTGCCTGCAATCTCTTAAATGGCAAGTTAAGCCCCCAAACCTCCTCGTTTCTTAAAAGGTCTTAAAAAATCCGGCCCTCAGAACCCTAGGGGTCCCCTAAGGGCGCGCGCGCGGGGAGGCCGCGCGGTGTACACAGAAGGCTACGTGGCTTTTACAAATAAAATCATAATAATCTACGCACACGAGTGCGGTATCGTTGCGTGCTCTGCTAGCAGGCGCAGCTCCTCCTCGAGCCTCGCCGGGCCGAAGAGGCGCAAGCACCACATCTCGACGAGGTGGGCGAGCAGCAGCGCCGCCACGCCCTCGTGATGCTCCCACGCAGAGTAGCGCGCGCCCCCCTCGCTCGCCCCCGGGGGCGCCACTCGCTGCGCCGCGACGATCGCCTCGCGGAGCGCGTCGAAGCGCGCGGCCAGCACCGCCGCGTGCTCCTCGAGCGCCTCGCGCAGCGCCGCCTCGTCAGGAGGGTCCGCTGGCGCCGCCCGCGCCCGCCGTGCGGCGTGGGGAGGCGCTCCCTCCTCCTCCGCCCCTCCTGCCGCTCGCAGCGGGTCGTACCGCGAGGAGAGGAGTCGGCGGAGGAGGTCGGGACGCCGCTCGCCTCCGCCCGCGAGCACCGCGCGCGAGAGGACGTTCCCTCCAGAGACGAATCCGCCGCTGGTGACGCCTCGCGACAGCAGCGAGTCCAGCAGCGTCGCGAGGCCTGGTGGAGGGAGTGGTGGTGGACGAGGGAGGGTGGAGGACCAAATCCTGCACTGTCGCGAGGCCGGAGCGGACGAGCGGCGCAGGCCAGCGAGGGTGCAGCGGCAGAGGCTCGGCCAGCACCTCCGCGGCGGAGGACGGGACGGCGGAGGGGCTGAAGACGTTGAGGGAGAGGGCGGGCGAGAGGGTGAGCACGTGGTGGAACCAGAAGGCGGGAATGAAGAGCGCCTCGCCCGGCGAGAGGTCGAAGTGGAGCGGCGGCGGCAGCGGGCGAGGGGCGAGCCCCGGCATCATCTCATGCCGCAGCTGCGCCCGCAGCACCTACGAAGCATCAACCCTCCAGTCATCAATGATGAGTCATCTCGTGCCGGAGCTGCGCTACACCTCGTCGTCGCTCTGCGCGGCGGCGGCGGCCAGCGCCGCCTCCACCTCGATCTGCGCCTTGCGGGCGCGCGGGTGCGCGTCCGGGAAGACGCGCAGCGCCTCTGCACTCGACGGCGGCCAGACCAGAAAGTGCTTGCGGCCGTCACATTGGACAAAGAAGTTGTCGGCGACGTCGTAGTGCGCCTGCGTGAAGCTACCCGCCGAGGAGGCCCAGAGCTGCAACCACGGCCGCCGACCGCTCGGCGCCTGGGGCAGCAGCTCCTCCCACCCGTCCACAGGACCGAGCGACTCGAGCCGACCGAGCGAGTCGAGCGGCGAGGTGAAGTAGTGGTGCGGCGGGCCGGCCGATTGAACGGCGGCCACGAGCTCCGCCGCCGTCAGATTGACCTCCTCCTCATGTGCAGCCGACGTGTCGGGCAGCAGCGAATCCCTCCTCGCCGCCGCCACGTACATGAAGTCGGGCGAGGCGCTCCGCTTGGCCGTCAGCCCCAGCGGCTCGCGTGCCAGCGCTGATAGGCTCCACCGCGATGACCAGGCGCGAACAGCAGCGCTGTCGATTCGCTGTGGGCGCAGCATGGCGCTGCTGTGGTGTTGCGGCGAGAGTTTCAGCGAGTTCGAGCCGGCAAAAGCCCTGCAGCGCGGGGTGCGCCTGCGCCTCGTCAGATATTTATTTATTGATTCACGCCTTCCGCTGCTTTGCCGCGGCCGCCTCCCTCTTCTGCCTCACACGCCGGAGGTGCGCAGCAGCCTCGTCCTCTTCTGGCTCTCTGCCGCTGCCACCACCGCCGCTGCCGCCGCCACCACCGCCGCCACCACCGCCGCCACCGCCGCCGCTGCCACCGCCGCCGCCGCCGCCGCCGCCGCTGCCACCGCCGCCGCCGCCGCCGCCGCCGCCGCTGCCACCACCGCCGCCGCTGCCCGCCGACTGCGCCGAGACCTCTGGCTCACCTTGAGCCGGTCCGGGCAGCCGTGCCGCCGGCTGGTCAGCGCCACTGCCTGGTACCACGATCGGCGCGGCCTCGCGCGGACGGAGCAGAGAGGCGAGGAGCGGCCGGCGGCGAAAGTCGGGCAGCTGCAGCGCCGGCGGCGCCGAGTCGTGCTGTAGCCGCAGCCGCTCGACGGTGGCGGCGTCGGCCTCCGCCTCGAGGAGATCCACCGCGTGCATCAGCGGGAGCAGCAGCTCGTCCCGAATCCTCGCGGCCGGGTCAGCGTCGGGCGTGAGGCGAAACACGAGCTTGGTGACCCCAATGTCCCAGGAGAGGGTAGGCGGGCAGGCGTCCGCGTGGATGGCGACGTCGAACGTGTAACAACCCGCGAGGTCGGCATCGTCCTCGCCCGCGGCGTAGCAGCGCGCCACCAGGCTGAGAAGCTCAGCCGCGGAATTCTCGATGCTGTCGGCCGCACGTTGCGGCTCGAGGTCCGACGCATTGTAGCGGCAACCCCACCAGCCGCGCAGGTCGGTGACGCGCGCGACAAGCCGGTCGGGTCCGACGCTCAGGCCGAGGAAGAGCTGCGGGGAGAGCTGGCGCCAAGGAGGGGCGGTTGACATGTGTCAGACCTGGAGATCAGCGGTAAGCAGAACCCAAGGTGGCCGAACAACGTGGCCGAACAACTAATGCGATGAGAAACCGGGCACCCTTCGGACTTTTTCAATGTATGTGGCTCTTACTTACTTTGCGGGGTATGGTGGTACGCTCGCGCAACCCACCTCGAGACCATACCCCCCCGCCTGCTGACGGACCCAGCCTCTCGGAGACCGGGGATGGGTGGGCGGTCAGGCAGGACCATACCCCCCCACCCTTTGGGCCGCGAGGCTACCATACCATACTCGATCGAGTACCCCGCAAAAAGTTGGAACCATGGCTGCAAGTCTCCTCTTTTCCCAGCGCCTCCTCACGGTGCCCCACAGCTCTGCCCGGGCTCCCACGGCTCTGTGAGGAGCTACCGGTGCCGGTTAGATGGCGCACAGCTCAATCAAACAATGGCCATTACAGTGGGTTGCGGGCATTAAGAAAACGTAGCATTAAGAAACCACGCCGAGCGATTTTCGCAAAAATCTAAGAAACCACGGCGAGCCGCAGGCGCGGCCCCGAGAAAAGGCCAGACACGAGTGAGAACAGCTCAAATTTTCTCTTCGCCTGCGGCGCGCGCACTTGACCACTTGTCACTTTCCAAGTCTGCGGTGTTCTGAGTGGAGTGGATGGAGGCGTGTGTGCGTCTTCCTACTTCCCGTCATCCAGAGAGCCGACTCAGCGGCAGACTCTGGCATCGCCCTCGCGGACCGCAGCTTACCCCTCTTAACTCTTACCTAAAAATCCTTCGGGCCGGCTCTGGCTTGAGAGAGATTTTTAGCAATACCAAACAAATCTAACTGTGTTGGCTTGAGTGCCGGCCGGAGCTAAGAAACCACGGCATGGGGTGGGTGAGGGGTGAGGAAAGGCTTAGAAACGGCGGCGTGCCGCGCAATCCTGTTTTCTTAATGCCCGCAACCCACTGTAGCATTAGCCATTACCTCGGTGTGTGTGTGTCTGTGTCAAGAATACTGACCGAAGTCTTCTTTTCCGAGCGGGCCAAGCTTGAGCCTTGAGCACTTGAGCACTGGATAAGGTCGATTCCGCGTGGTAACGGGACCCTCCGATGGCGGTGCCTGTCTGTGTGTTGTTGTGCTGTTATTTGAGAGAGAGAGAGATTTTTAGCAATTGTTTGTTATTTGTGCCCTTGGCACCTTTGAGTGCTGGGGAGGGGGGCGACGGGGGGACGTGGCCGCGAGTGGCGTAGTGCCGTACGCTTACTCGTGATGTGTGGCAGCCCAGCTGGCTGAGTGTCTTGTGAGCTTGTGTGTGTGTGTGTCGCTCACGCGTGTCGTCATCATCTGTCTCGCGTCCACCCCATACCGCGTTGGTGTCCAGTCCGAGCCTGACTGTTCTTCACCTTTCCTACCTAAAAAAAAACATAGTGCTGTGTTGAGAGCGGCTTGTGTCAATGGTAGCATTCTTTTCCCAGCTGCTGCCCGGGCTCCCCCGGCTCTGTTCGGGCAGAGGAGCTACCGCGGCGCCGGTTAGATGGCGCACAGCTCAATCAATGGCTATCACCTCGGTGTGTGTGTGTGTGTGTGTTCAAGAATACTCACTCACACACCTCACCTCGGCACAGAGGGGGAGGATGGTAGTCTCCCGCCAGCCGCCCCACCTCCGCGGTACCGACCGCTGACATGTGCATGCATATGCGGGACTCATAGCACATGCATGCACGGTGCTCTGCAGGATGGATTGTCCGACACGCGACAGTCGCCGCGCCGCGAGCTACTCTATATACGTTGACCGTAGCCGAGACGCGAGAGTGCGAGAGAGCCCGCGTCGATGAATTCGAGGCGGTCGGGAGGCCTTGCGCTTGCCGCTTGCGGAGAGACCAGCGAGTTGGCGATCGCTGTACTTCATGGGGGCCATCAAGTAACCGCGGCTGACAAGCCAGAGGTCGATACTCTGGACGACCCGGCGCCCCGAGGGGCGAGGTTGTGGGTGGGACTGGGTCACTGGGACGGTGCGGTGCGATCGCGACAATGCAATGCTTCGCCAACGCCTCCACAGAAAGGCGTGTTCTTAAGGTGCGTCCTCCGGGCCCCTTTAGGGAGGCAAACCCTGGCCGGCCCTTAGAACCCCAGGTAAGGCCCAGGTGTGGCCTAGGGCATCAGAAGGGACCAAGAGGAGTCCAGTCTGAGCCATAGAGCCCATGTCTTCCCCCCCGACGGTCGCGTTCAAATGCCCGGAACGCACGTCTCACGAGTGGTGTCCGGCCGGCGCGATCACCGAGCTGATCTCTCTCTCTGTTGTGCGAGGCGTGAACCGCGCCATTCGCTCTCACCTGGCAACCCTGTCTGCACGTCTCGCGCGCGCGTGAACAGGGCTCCAGGCCCAAATTTCGTGTGAGTGTTAGAGTTGTTTGGAGAGAGAGAGAGAGATGTTGTTTGTTTGGTATTGCTAAAAATCTCTCTCTCTCCGAGCTGTGACGCTCAGGGAAGCCGGATGAGGTACTGGTTTCTTTGCCCAGGCCTAGCCTACGACCCATGCTGGATCAGCTGAGCAAGGTTTGGGAATCTTTTTTACAATTTTGACGAACGACCGAAAATGGCCACACCGGGGTTCTACCGGCCAGGGTTTGCCTCCCTAAAGGGGCCGGGAGGACCTCCAATTGGATCGAACGAGGAGAAGGCCGCGCCGCCCAACTCGCGCGGACGGTGCTCGCCGCTCGCCTCATGGCGAGCCGCGGGTTGGACACCTGGGAGGAGCTAACGGTGCCGATTTTGCTCTCCATCATAAATATGAATCTTCGCGACAAGTATGCGAGCCTGACGGAGCTGTGCAACGCCGAGGACGTGAGCGAGGAAGGGATAGCCGATAAGCTCAAGGCCGCGGGCTACAAGTACGTCACGAAGTTCAATCAGTTCAAGGCCGATACGTAGGGATCGTGGCACACGCACGTGATGTGTGTTGTGGTGACTCGGAAGAGCAAGAAAAACTCCAGCCACCTGCGCAGTGCCACGCACACAGAGGTGCCTGACGAACGGCCTCCCTTACATTTAGCCTCGTCGGAAGTTAGCGCCCCGGGAGCGGGCCCTGCCGCGCTGCCGGTGGCACCCCAGCACTGCCACTGACATGTTGCGCTCTCCAGACTCCACCTCGTTACGACGCCCAGCACCCCAGCGGCTGCCCGCGCCCCGCGGCGCCTCCCCCGCAGCCCTAGCCCGCGCAGGCGCAGCCGCGCCCGCGCGAAAGAGAGGATTTCAACCACCAAAAAAGAGGTACATCTGTCGCACCGCGGCGAGCTACAGTCCCCCATCTGCCGCCCGGACTCCTCAACCTCTCAACAGGCTCTCTCTGTACTGGCTGTGTCCCTCTCGCCGCCGCCCGCGCGCGGTTGCGAGCGTCCCGCGCTGTCCGCCGCGCCTGTGCCTTGGCGCACGCTTCGCCGCACCCCATCGCCGCACCGTATCTCCGTACCGGCCGCCGCCCCCCGCGGCCGCCTGTCCCCCGTGCCCCCTGTTCCAGCCGTCCCGCCCCAGCCTCCCTCCTCACCGCCCCATCCTCGCCGCCCCAAGCCTCCCGCGCCGCCCGCCGCCACTCCGCTGCCCGGGTGCATCCAAGCTGCCCCTGCTCCGCCCGGGCTGCGGCTCTGCTCAGCGGATCAGCTCCTCTAGCCTCGGCCGCGCGAGCGGCAGCCCCCGTGGACCTGGGCTGCGTGCCTCCTCCGCGGAGCTTCAGCTGTACTGGCTTCAGCTGTACTGGTCGGGCCTCACCTCGATGGTGCGGCCGTGGAACTCGCTCTCGTTGAAGATCTGGATCGCCTTTGCCGCTTCGCGCGTCGAGCCGAAGAGGACGGTGCCTACGGGACGCGTCCACGGACGCGTCACGGACTGCCACCGCGCGTCGCGCCGAGGAGAGGAGTGTGCCGAAGCCGCGCGACTTCCCTCCCCCGTCCTGCGCCACGTCTGCGTGTGTCACGTTGCCGGCAACCTTGAAGTGGTCCTTGAGCTCCTTCCAGGACGTGGTGTACGGCAGGTTGCCCACGTAGACCTGCGCGCGGCGGGGGGGGGGGG